AAATAAATAAATAAATAAATAAATAAATAAATAAATAAATAAATCTTTAAAATTAGTCTTCTTTTCTTTTTGGGGAACACAATACTTTCCATAGAAAAACGTGTTCTCTGCAAACTTCCTACTTTAATACAATCAGCAGGAACCTCTGGGAATCACCAGAATTTTGTAGCTGGTATGAAATTTGGAAATCCCCTTCTGTAGCAAAATGAGCACTGATTGCTTGCTGCTAGGATCTTTAGTTTCTGTCATATTTCCCCGTTACACATTTTTTTTCTTTAAAAATTCAGAGCCTCAATCTTGAAGGCACTTTAGTGGGTTAAGAATCTGTGAGCTCCACCTAACTCTTTGAAGGTATGCCCAAGGTTAAATTTAGAACTCCTATGTGAAAGACTGTCTTGAATTAAAGCTTCAAGCCTAAAATTACACTAGCATTCTCCCTCATTTTTAAAACTCAGATTTTCAGTAGAATTTATTGGACATCTCTTTGAATCTTTTCAAACTCCCTGGATGGTACCTTTTTAGCTAAAGTTACTAAATCCTAGTGGGGGAGTGTCCTGGTAACTCCCTTTACTTAAACTTTCGAATTTATGGGAGAAAGAGTGGTACTTTAAAAAAGAGAAAGTTCTGCTTCACATGGGTAACAAGCAGTGGAGTAAATGGCCTACACTTAAGATCAAGATTTCTTGTGCCTTCGATGTACCAAACATTGTTCTAGGCAGCTGTGGTAAGAGGGCTTATGATATGTTCCCTGACCTCTTAATAGCTCATGACCTGATACAGAAGAGGGCAAATAGCAATAGTTTCCTATAATGGTAATAATCAGAGTTCCCCAAGGAAGCAGTTAATTTAATAAGTTAAAACAGTGGTAAACAAACAGTGGGGGCCTCGAAACAACAACAAAAATGTTCCCTTTTGATGTATTAACACCCCACAGAGGACTCTTAACAGACCCTAATGTTTGTTTGTTTAATTAAAAACCCCTTAGTTAGGGAACAGAAGGTCAACAAGGCAGAAACTCAGCTGTTAGCTTGTTGTGGGAGTTTAGCTTATTGTTTTAGAAAATTGATCTTAAGTAATTGGGACAGTTAAGTGCTGATCCTGGACTACATCACCTTCAATGTGACTGGATCAGTGGTTTTGATCCCTTTTGTTTTTGGCTACAAGCTGCCTTGGGAACCTGATAAAAAGTGTGGATTCTCTTTCCCCAAATGATGCATATCCACACAATTCTTTATTTTTCATTGTTGTTTATTAAGATTTTAAATTCCAGTATAGTTAGCATACAGTGTTATATTAGTTTCAGGTGTACAATATAGTGATCCACCACTTCCATATACATTACCCAGTCCTCATCAGGACAAGTACACTCCTTAATCCCCATCACCTATTTCACCCATCCCTCCACCCCTTCCCCCCAGTAACCATCAGTTCTCTGTAATTAAGAGTCTGTTTCTTATTTTGTCTTTCTCTCTCTCTCTTTCTTTACCTTTGTTTCTTTAATTTTACATATGTGTGAAATCATGGTATTTGTCTTTCTCTGACTTACTTCACTTAGCTTTATACTCTCTAACTCCATCCATGTTGTTGTAAATGGCAAGATTTCATCCTTTTTATGGCTCAGTAATATTCCATTGTGTATATATACCACCTCTCCTTTATCCATTCATCTATCGATGGACACTTGGGCTGCTTCCATAGTTTGGCTTTTGTAAATAATGCTGCAATAAACATAGGGGTTCATGTATCCCTTTGAATTAGTGTTTTGTATTTTGGGAGTAGATACCCAGTAGTGCAAGGACTGGATCATAGGGTAGTTCTATTTTTAACTTTTTGAGGACGCTCCATACTGTTTTCCACAGTTTGTGTTCCCACCAACAGTGCAAGAGGAACGGTTCCTTTTTCTCCACATCCTCGCCAATACCCGTTGTTTCTTGTGTTTTCTGTTTTAACCATTGTGACAGGTGTGAGGTGATATCTCATTGTAATTTTGAACTTCATTTTGAATGAACTTCCTTGAGGCGCTTCCATGACTCCGGGGGGGGAAGAATCTTCTAGGTTGGCTGTTGGTTGTAATGCAGCTCCTTTACTGAATATTTTTGCCTCCATTTATCTTCATTTTCCTGGGATTCCTTAATTTTTGAGCCCATAAGCCTTTTAAAGAGAGGTTAGTAGTAAATTCACATATATTGTGTCATGCTCTGCAACTTTGGCATTTCAGTCACCTTACCGAATAGATACTTTCTCACCATATTTGTGGTGGAGATCATTTAAGTATAATTTAGATCTTTTAGGTTAAGAAACCTTTCTTTCTGGTTTCTGGTCTTTATTAAGATATCTAGAAAATGCATCTTCTCTTGGTGATTTTTTAGATGACCTCGTCCTTGAGCTTAAGATATTAGTGAGAAAGTCTCGGTGATTCAATAATTGGCCCAAGAGTTTTCTTCTCCTGCCCATGTACTATTTAGCATTGAACCTTTAACCTGTTACCAGTTACCAAAGCCCAGTGTGGTATGTTGTTGATTAAAGTGAAAGCCCTCTATGTCCCAGGGTTATGTGTACACCTCAGATGTCATGGAGGTGGGGGTGATACTGATAGGGACAGAGTTATATCAGTGATGATGATCCAGACTCCAGTAGTTAGCTTAGCCAGAGGAATTAATTTGTTCATTCATTCGTCCAACTAATTTATTGAATGTCTGTTTTGTGTCTGCTAGGTGTTGGGGGAAAAGTAATATTACCTGTCCTTATGAGACTTCTTGCCTATTGAGGGAGCAACTTTAATGAAAAATGCACACATCTATAGTTATTCACTGTATCGAGTATTGTCAAGGAAGTATAGGATGACCTGAGAACACCTAACAAGGAACCTAATTTAGATCAGGTCAGGGAAAGCAAAGGTTGGGGACTAGATGGCCCAATCGTGATGCTCCAGATGAAAACTTCATTTCTTATGTAGTATACCTCTAAGTGTATGCTTATTTGTATGTGTGAGGTCTGGGTTTTAACATGTTTTCAAATTACTGTGATAGTCTGGCCCATATGAGTTGTTATTAGGATTTTTCAAGTTTCCTTTCTAATAATACTTTTTTTCCTCCTCCCATACAGTATACACTTTGGAATTTCCTCCCAAAGAATCTGTTCGAACAGTTTAGAAGAATTGCAAATTTTTATTTTCTCATCATTTTCCTTGTGCAGGTAAGAGCTCCATAAACAACCACTCCCCTTTTAGAAACTTAATTACTCCAGGGGCATCTTGGTGGCTCAGTCGGTTAAGCGGCTGCCTTTGGCTCAGGTCATGATCCCAAGGTCCTGGGCTCGAGCCCCACGTCTGGCTCCCTGCCCGGCAGAGAGCCTGCTTCTTCCTCCCCTTCTGCCTGCCACTCTGCCTACTTGTGCTATCTCTCTGTCAAATAAATAAATAAAATCTTTAAAAAAAAAAAGAAAATTACTCCAATCAAATTTTTCCCCCCAAACAAATTTTCAATCCATTTCTTA